ACAAACAGCACCTGAAGGAATATATCACCAGCATTCCAAAATGTTCTGACCTGAGTTCAATTCCAGGTTCAAAAAAAACCAGAAAATTGTTTCATTAGAACAGCACAGGTGGGGACTATTGTCCACTGTCACTGAGCACTTGTTTCTTTACACTGGGCAGTGTCACCAAAGGGAGCTAATCACCATTCATTTGTAAATAAATGAATTTATTTCAGTTTGTCTACTACCATTCGGGTATACAAATTTAAGAGCCCATAGAAATATGTGTAGACATTATAGAACACCAAGAGATTTTTACATGCAGAGGTGCAGGAATGGCAGGTCCCTAACAGAGGTGACACTGAGACTGAAACCAAACCCAAGTGCCCTAGCAGCAGGGCCAGCTGCTCCCAACCCTGGGTTGTCAGATAAGATACAGGACGTCCAGTTAAATTTGAACTTTATATAAGCAACGAACAACTATTTAGGATAACATGCTCCAAGTAAATGTTCAATGTTGCCTGGGACATATTTGTTCTTAAAAACTGTATGTGTTGTTTACCTGAAATAAACATCTATGTTTTTATTTGCTGTATCTCAAAAAAAAAAACCCAAAAAACAAAAAAAACACAAAATGTTCTGAAATATATTCAAAAAAGAGATAATAAAGACTACAATTACATGAACACCAATAGAATGAATTTAGCAGGTAAGGCAAACAATTAAACAGAAGGTGAAAAAAGGGAACCAACAACAGGAAAATAACATGATAAGGGTAAGTTAATATGTGTTAGTTATAATCACTGAATGTCAAGGATGGAAAACAATATTCCATGCAACAGGAACCTGGAAAGAAGTAGGGGTAGCTTTTGTGTTTGGAGACAGAGTGAATTTCAAGCTAGGACTGGAGAGACAAAGAAGGTCACTTCATATTTGTTAATGTAACATTCCAAGAGGAAGAGATAACAGTCATAAGTGTATATGTACCAAATACCAGCACAACCAACTATATAACACAAATATTAATGGACATGAAAAATCAAGCACTGATACTATTGTAATGGTCAAAAAATAGATCTAGACAAAAAATCAACAACTATCAGAGCTGAACCAAACCTTCAAACAAATGGACTTAGTAGATGTCTACAGAATGTTCTACCTCACAACATTAGAATACACATTATTCTCAGCTCCAAATAGGATGTTCTCCAAAAGAGACTACATACTAGCTCACAGAACATGCTTAAGTCAATGCAAAGGAATTGAAATTATCCCATGCATATTATTGGACCATAGTGCAATGAAATTAGAAATAAATGGCAAAAGAAACCACAGAAACATATGGAAATTAAATAACACCCTCCTGAACCACTAATAGGTCACAGAAGAAATTAAAGAAATTAGACAGTTTCTATAATTAAATGATAATTCCAATACAACATAGTGTAGCTTATGGGATGCAATGAAAGCGGTCCTATGAGGGAAATTTAATAACAGTGAATTCCCATATCAGAAAAACAGAGCAAGCTCAAATAACCTAATTTTGCTCTTCAAGTTTCTAGAAAAAGAAGAGTAAGTCTAGCGCAAAACCTGTATGAGGAAGGAAATTATAAAGATCAAAGCAGAAATTAATGCAATGAGACTAAGAAAACAATACAAAGAATCAGTGAATCAAAGTTGGTTCTTTGAAAGATTACATCTGACAAACCCTTAGCCAACTGTATAAAAAAAGGAATGAAATGGCTCAAATCCATGCAATTAGGAACAAGAAGGGTGAAATCACAACAGATCATACAGAAATCCAGAAGATCATCAATACTTACTTCAACTCTTAAATTGGAGTTGTAAACATCAGTTGTCTTTTATTCACTACCGAGGACGAAGCCTAACCATAGAACTTAAAAAAATACTTACTTCAAGAGCCTGTATGCTAGTAATGTGGCAGAGGGCAACAGTTCATGGTTGCAGAACAACAAAGCAACAAGAGCAAAAGGAGGAATGGCAGCAAGCAGCCTCCTTCCCTCCCTTACACTGTATGCAAACTATCCACCCCAGGTGAGTGTAGTACTCACACCCATAATCCCAGCATTGGATCATGAATCAATCACAAATCCTAGAAGCCCACCCCATGACTGCATGAGGATTTGCGGGGACATGCAGACACAAACCATAACATCTGGGATGCAACATACTTAGTCATGATGTATGATGACATTTTTGTCATGATGTGACAAAATGTATGACATTTTTAATGATGTGTTGCATTCTTTGCTCTAATTTTTTTTCAGGTTAAAAGTAGGAAAACTTATTGGGGAAAAAGAAGGGGAAATAGGAATTGGGAATGAGAAATAGGCATAGGAGGGGTCCTAAATGGGTTGCCAGTGAGCCCTTCTCTTAAAGGAAATTTTATAGAGCAAAATCATGAGGTGGTACATAGGTCAAAATTATGATTAACCAATAAGATTGCAAGTATGATCACTTAGGTAATATTGATCTAATGGTACCAAGGGTATATGGGTGACATCACTAATCTTGCTTGATAATAAACAGCATTAGTTTTGCCTTTATTCTTAGTAGTCTGAGTCTTTTTTTTTTTTTTTTTTTCTGGTAGCGGGAATCGAACTCACGACTTTGTGCTTGCCAGGCAGGCGATGCGCCGCTAAGCTAAATCCCCAGCCCCAGTAGTCTGAGTCTTAATGTGTGCTAAATTTTGTTGAGGGTTTTTGCATCTATGTTATGGAGACTGACTTGCAGTTTTCTTTATTAGCTGAATTTTTGTCTGGTTTTGGAATCACAGTGATGTCAGCATCCATAAATGACTTGGGAAGTACTCCTTTTCAATTTCATTAAAGAGTTTGAGGAGTACTGGTGATATAAATCCTTAAATGCTTTATAGAATTCAGCAGTGAATACATCAGGTCCTGAACTTTTTTAGTTGGTAGGTTTTTTCTATTATTGTCTCAATTTCATCACTTGTTATTGGATTGTTAAACATTTTTGTGTCATTTGGGGTTAGCTTTGATAATTTGTATGAGTTTAGGAATTTGTTCATTTCTTTAAGGTTTCCCAACTTGGTGGAATACAATTTTTTGTAGTAGTTATTATCATCTAGATTTCAATGGTATCTGTTGTGTTTTTACCTTTTTCATTTCTACTTGCACTGATGTGAGTCTTTCCTCACTTTCTCTTGACAGGCTGGCTAAGGGATTATCAATGTGTGTGTGTGTGTGTGTGTGTGTGCGCGTGTGCATGTGTGTGTGTGTGTGTGTGTGTGTGTGTGTTTATTTTAAGGAATCTGCTCTTCAGATTTGTTCATTCTGTATATTGTTTTTTAGCCTCAATTTCATTGATTTCTCCTCTTACTTTTATCATTTCTCCCAATTCTGGTTTGGACTTGAATTTTTTTTCAAACATCTCATGGTTCCTCATTAGGTTATTTATTTGAGTTGTTTTCTTTTCATAATGTGAGCACTGACTGCAAGCAATGAACTTTCTTGTTAGGACTGTTTTCACTGTGTCACATAAATTCCAGTGTATTGTACAGGCACTGCTATTATCTTCCATAAATTGTTTAATATCTTCCGTAACCCATTAGGCATTCAGGTGTTACTATGTTTCCAAGTAACTGTAAATTTTCTGCAGTTTCTTAGTTGATTTCTCTTTTCTTTGCATAGTGGTCGGATAATAAAAATGTGGGTGATTCAATTCTTTTATACTTACTTAAGCAGGTTTTCTGGACCAGTACATGATCTATTTTGGAGAATGTACCACGGGCTTCAGAAAAGAATGTATACTTTGTTGTAGTAGTATCTATTTTGTAGACATCTATTAGTGTATATATTTAAGGGTGTGATTCAGTTGTGATATGTATTGATTTTTGGTGCCTTGTTGATCTATCTCTTTGCAAAAGTGGGATACAAACACATTCACATGGGGCTGTAATTTGTATGTCTATGCCAGGTGGCTCTGATTTGAATTCAGTTGTTCTACCTGCTTGAGCTGCTTTCTAAAAATATAGGTGCCACTGTCATCCCCAAAACTCAAATGTGTATGACACTTTGGGTACTATGAACAAATCAGTAGCCTTTATGTACAAAATATTTTAAAGAAATTCTTGAATATAATTAAATTTTTTTTAATTTCGTGAAATAATTTGTTGATTATTATTTTTTAAATTGATAATAATTGTTTTTTTTTTTTTCCAGTACTGGGAATTGAACTCATGACCTTGCGCTTGCCAGGCAGGCACTGTGTTGCTGAGCTAAATCCCCAGCCCAAATTGGTGATAATTGGTAATAATATTAATTACTATTTATATTTGTACAGTAATTATTAGAATTCATGCAACTAATTAGATTTGGTTCACTCATAGAATTTGTATTAATTTTACTAGTAAAAAGACCAATAAAAGTGATTAGAGCTATTTGTACCACCAGTGGTACAAGCCACCTGATGGGACAGTCATGCACGTACTGCTGGTGGTTGAAGATGGTGAAAACATGTTGGCTAATGAAAATGATGTTCTCAAGGAACTAATAAGAGAGTGTCTACTGTATATTATAAACATTTGTAATGTATAGAAAAGCCATTCTATTGTTTCATGAACAAGTAAAGAGAAATATACTAAGTATTAAATGTTATTTGATAGAGTAAAAAGCACATTAAATCTACATATTAATATACAGAATAAGTGATAAGAATATAATATGATAAGAATATAATAAGTTGAGAATGGTTATAACTTTTTAAAATTTCCTATTGTTTTTATTATTTATTTATTTATTTATGCCTTTTTTGTGACACAGGGTTTCATTATGCAGTTCAGACTGGCCTTGAACTTACTTTGTAGCCCAAGCTGTCTTCGAACTCACAGCAATCCTCCTACCTCAGTCTCTGGAATGAAGGGATTACAGGCGTATGCTACCATGCCTGGCTTATTGTTTTTATTTTTAAATAAGTAGAATAATACAATTGAATACCTTAACTGACTGTGTTCTATTGTGTCCAAACATAAATCTTACCAACTACTTTGTCCATGTCAAAGTGAGATATTATGTCACCAATTGTTGGATGCAATGCTGGAAGATTTTCTGATGTAACTGGCAGTTGAGAGGCCACTTCATATTTAGCTATAAAAATAACAGATTGCCTGATTAGTTCATTTAAAGGATGTAATTTTTTGAGGTAAAATATACTGTCTAACATTAACAGATACATTTTATCTTACAATCATTTAACCTTATTTTCCTTAAAATTTGATGTACTAGCTGCTCAACTGAATACAAATGTTAAATAATTTACAATGCTTACAAAATAGCTATAATACAAGGTTATTACATTAATAAGAACTTTTCAAATGGTGTTATTTAACTCTCAGAAAATTGAAGTAGGTATTGTAACACCCTCTAACAGATGTTAGAAAAATTATATTTTTAAAAGTTGTATTGTTATTATGTGCAAAAAATAGGAATTAATTAGTTCTCTTAGATAAACTCAAGTGTCTACTAGGACTAAGCATGTAATTGGAATGAAATAAATTCCATTAAAATTGGGGTGGCATGAAGACCAGAGGTGAAATGGCGAACACTTGTTCTTTTCTTTTTTACTTAGATATGAGTTATTTTTATTTGCCAATACGCACAAAGTACTAAAGACTTCAAAATAAAAAGTAGAAGCTAATCTTGTAGCATTAAACTGCCATATATATATATATGTATATATATATATATGTTATCTACATTTACTAACTGATACAAAAATAATGATATTCAAAGCTCAAAACAGCAAGCATTAACTAAAAAATCCTCTGACAGCATTAGTAGACTTTATTCTTTATATATTAGTACAAAACTTGAACTTAATTTTTAACCTATTAAAATCAAATTTCACCTTGCTACCAAAGAGCTATTAGGGTTTCAGACCTTTCCAAAGGCTCACATCTCAGGAAGGCATCAAATCCTAAAACCATCTAGTATTTCTTAAATTTTTCTCTTTCCTTCTTTTTTGTTTTAGAAAGAATGTAAACTGCATCCTTACCATTTGGATTACAATAATTAAGTACAAAAACAATTTGTTTAACATCCTGTAAATTATTAAAAGCATCTACAAAAATATGAAAAGCAAGATCACAGTGCATTATACTTCAGCACACACATGGCAGCAACATAAGAACATTTAAAATGAGAATATAAAGATCTCTCTGTTTCTCAAACAAATAAAAATAATGAAGCTGTAACTACTCTTCTCATCTAGATTCTTAAAATGCAGCACTCAACAGAAGTAAATTATTGCATATTTAGCATACTTCTTTATCATATGATTCCTTCAAACCATGCTAAACTACTTTTTTAAAAAATTTAGTCTTGTTCTAAGCATAGTCTGTCTCAAGGTAACCTGAATGTGGAGAAGGAATAACAGATGTACACAAAACAGGCACAGCCACTTAAACATTTATTCTGCACAGTTAAATCACATCATACATATAAATCTTAACCCATCTTTTAATATGTTTTACCTCAACCTATGAAGAGAGTTAAATACCTAAAGTTATCATAATTGTATCCCAACCATAACTTTATTTTGTTCCCCAGTGCTTTAAATGAAGCAGGACAAAATCATAACTACTGTAATTAAAAAGATAATTTTTTAGTTCTTCAAAATGCTCAACCACATTAGAAACCGTACTTTGGTAACTAATCCTTTTTGCTTTTTAGTATTGGGAGCTGAAAAATACAACTCTACTGGTACTGGAAAGACTGAAAAAAGTATTCATTTAAAAAGGAAAAACAAGTGTTACATGCTAAAAAAAACCTCTAAAAATTAGATGGATTGCAGATGATAGTAAAGGCATGAAAATGATTCATTTGCTTGGCAAACTGAGATTTCACTTCCTTAACAAATTAACAGAAATCTGGAGTGGTGAGACCAATACAAATATAGCTCAAAGACAGCCAAGCAAAGCAGCTGTATTTCTGAAAAAACAAAACAAAACAAAACAAAACAAAACAAAACAAAACACCCAACAACAACAACGAAGAATTTTCAAATGCAATCATAAAATGTATTAAAAAGCACAGGTTACACAAGGATTCACAAATCAATCACATTACAAAATCTAGGATTAGCTGGGCTTGGTGGCACACAACTATAATCCCATGACTTCAGAAGCAAGAGGATTGCTGTGAGCTGAAGGTCAGCCTGGGCTACATAGTGGGTTCAAGGTTAGCCTGAACTACATAGCAGTATCCCATCTCAAAAAAATGTAGTAGGATTATGGAGAACCTGATTCTAAACACTCTGTTACAATTATGCATTCTTCTGCTTAGCACCAAGAATGACACTTTCAATAATAAGTACAATTTCTCCTTTAAAGTAGAGTCACTTACAAGTTAAAGCAAAGTGGTAATACCAAGTGAATTCCTTACAATAGCTTTTCTTTTAAAAGTTGTGTAGGGCAAAGTAGGCTGCCTACACAGAATAAAGATTTCTACAGTAACATTTATAAGCAGTGTTATATTTTGTGGATGACACTTGCAGAAAGATTTGTAAAACTCCCATGATAGTTGCACACATGCACATCAAACACTCCACACTCCACTCTCCCATCCTCCAAGAAAAATCTTCAGTGAGGTCAGATGCAGCCAAAACAGTATCATCTCCCTAAAGTTCTGGTGAGTGTCCTTAATTATAACTGAAATCCTTCTTAAAATAGCTATTGCCATTTTTATTGCGATTTATGAATCCCAAAGGAGCAAAATACATTCCTAGGATTGAGTTATGCATATTATTTCCACGTTCTGATTTTCCCCTATTGAAATGCTTTAACTGTACTTGAGTAGACTGCATAACCCATTTCTTCTGACTCCATTGTCCAGGGGCTGCTCTATACATGTCATTGTCCACTACTACTGCCAACTAGAACCCACTATAACATCATTTACTATAGATCAACACTGATATGCAATGTAAAACTAATAATGTCAGTTTTCCATACATATTTATACTGGAATATATATGAAATTTTCACAAGAGCAAAATCATTATACAAAGGGTTGGGTAAATACATGATCCAAAATAACTGCTAAATCTTGGCTCCATGCTCTGCTTTAGGCTTTAGGTTTACTGACTGCATACTGTACAACTCAATATTACAGCATCAACTCCATGTCAACATGATCTCTCTCAGACTGCAGACTTTGTCTTTATGAAGTGTTAAGAGTTCATCTGCACATGAATGTTATATTATAGATGTTGGTTCTAAATAAATTCTTTCAACAAAACTACAAGCAGGAGGACTAGAGAGCCTCAGTGCTTACACGCAAAGAAATTAGCAAAATGCCACACCAACAGATGAGCAGCAATCTTGGTGTGTGTGACATTTCAACTCTTATGTTTATTTACTAATTGGAAATTTCGAGTTTCCTTTTGAAATTTCATGTAAGTAAACAATTAGTGACATCACTGTACTGGGTAGTAGACCTTCGCACTAACTTAGTTACTTACTGTTGACTCAAACACTATTTTCTTGATGGGAATACAAAATAAGACCAACATTAACACATAATAAACACCCTCAAAAAAAAAAAAAAAAGCAACTTAAATCTTGTTCCAAACACTGAAAAGATAAAGCTGCATAAAAGGTTATACTGCATTTACACTACAAACTCATTTCTACTTTCTCTTCTGAAAAAAAAAAAAAAAAACAAAAAAAAACTCTTCAGAAATATTGCCTCCCTAACATTTCTTTAAAACACCCAAGAAAGGTAAGGCTTCTGGGACAACCACTCAAATCCAACAGGTCTCTGATCTTGAGACTTCTACAATACATCTGCTGCCATCAGAGGTTTCAGATTTTCATTATAGCATTATGGTCAAATTTGAAATTCAAAAAGGTTCTGGATGAAAGGGGAAACTTGCAATTTCCATTACATGGCATTTTCAGGATGTTCTAGCAACTGCTCCTCTGTGGAGCAAGACAAGTCATACACAGCAACTGCTTCAGAGTTATCCTGAAGGTTTCATGGACGTAGTTTCTTTTCACACTTCATCAAGAGGTTCTGATGCTTTGCTGGCTGACTATGGGTCCCATTTGTTCTTTTGTTTTGATTAGGTGAGTCTTGATATTGTTTGCTGCCATTTTCCCTCATACTCCGACTCTTTGCTGTTAAAAGGTCAGACATTTCAGAACGGTAATTGTATCGCTTTTGTTGCACTGGATGCTTAAGCTTTACTCACTGGTCACCAAGAGAACTTTCAGGAATTAACTGCCTGCTGGGATAGAATTTGGTTCCACTCAATTTTTCCACAGTGAGTTTAGCTGGTGTGCTACCAGCTGAAGAAAATCCATTCCCACTGTCTGAGGAGTCCTGAATCTTCAAAAAAAGCCAGTCCCTTAGTGATCTGATTGTTTCTTTTGCTGGACAAAACCTTTTTTGTTTAATGTAGTCCTATTTCTCTACTTTTTGCTTTTTATTTCCTGTACTCTTGTGAAAAAAAAAAAAAAATTGCCCTCTCCATTGTCCTGAAGCAAGGAAGTGATAAAAAAGGAATGCTTGTATGCTGTTGGTAGAAATGTAAATTAATATAGCCATCATAAAAAACAGCATGGAAGTTTCTAAAAGATTAAAAATAGAACTATCATATGAAATCAGTATATCAAAGACACATTTGTACTCCTATGCTCATTGCAGAATTATTCACAATATCCAAGAAATGTAAACAATTGAGGTATTCACAAACTGATGAATAAAGAAAATGTGATACACTTACAGAATGAAACAACCACAAAGCAAATGAAATCCTGTCATTTGTGAAACATGAAAATGGAACTTGAGATCATTATATTAAGTGAACTAAGACAGGCATAGAAATACTGCATTATCTCATTCATATGTAAAAATAAAAAGTTGATGTTATAGAAAGCACAAGGTTACCAGAGGTTTGGGAAACAGGAAGGAAAGAAGATAGAAGAAGGTTAGGTCAGTGTGTACTAAGTCACATTTAGATAGGACCAAGAAATTTTGGTGTATTATTGCACAGAAAGGTGACCACAGGTAATAATAATGCACTATACAATTCAACAAACTAGAGGAAAGGACTTTGAAAGCGTTCACTATGAAGAAATGATTTA